CTTTGATGACAAGCAGAGAGGTGGGTGAGAGGAAGCTACTTACACTGTCATTCTCTCTGCCTTGTCCAGTCTTACTTACTCTATGTCCTGGGGCAATGTGAAGACACAGAGGGGTAGGGAAGGACTTGCAGCCAAGCTGCTGGGACAGAGCAGACAGACAGAAAATCCAAGTGATGCCAAAGGAAGTGAAATCAATTATCTGGATTGGTAATTCTTTCTGATGGCCCACTGGGTATTTATGAATTGGATATACATAATATAGAGACCACCTATATAAGGAAAAGGAATTCTGGTGGTACAGTGCCTAAGATATTTGACTGCTAACAAGAGGTTGGTGGTTCAAACCCACCAGCCACTCCAGGAAGAAAGATAGGACAATCTACTTCCGTAAAGATTTACTGCCTTGGAAACCTAGTGAGGGTTGCTATAAGTTGGAATGAACTTGATGGCCAGTGGGTTTGATTTGGTATATGAGGAAATACCTGTGTACTTAATTAAGTTCATAACAAGGGTTGGCAGTTCAGACCCACACCAGCTGCACAGGAGAAAGATATGTAAAGATTTATAGCCTTGGAAACCCTATGAGTCTGTTTTATTCTGTCCTATATGGTCATTTGAGTTGGTTATCAACTTGATAGTAATGAGTTTGGTTTTCTGGTTTTATAACAAAATTATTTAAATTCTATTAAACAATTAAACCACAGATTTTTCTACAACTAATTTCCACTTAACGTATTGTTTATGACTATCTAAAACCTGTATTTCTTCTGTTGAGCAATAATCTAATACGTGTATAATATTATTGTATCAGTTAGTAACAAGAACAAATACTTCTCAGGCCACAAGATCATTAAGGTAATTCATTATCATGGCACACATAAGTAATGCCTTCTTACAAACACTCTGGAAAACTGTTTGGTAATACATTCTCAAATCGAATATATGCATTCCCCCTGACCCATTCCTAAGTATACACTCAATAGAAACACATAAATATACTCACCTAAAGACATGTATATGACTTTTCACCACAGACAACTGCCTCCTTTGCCATAAGACTAGAAGAAATGGATGGTGCCTGGCTATCATTATTGAATGTTTTGATCAAAGATTCTACAGAAGAATCCTGAGCAAAGGGGGAAAACACAGAACAGAATGTCCAGTTCTTGTGGAATCCAGACTTTCTGGAGCATGGAGGATGTATGAACCCCAGAAACTATGAGCCTAATACAATCTTTAAGCCCTAAACCAAAAATATCCCTGAAGTCTTAAAACCAAACAACAGTTCAGCTGAACTGATAAACAATGTCTGCCTTGAGCATTATGCTCTTTTAAGAACTATCAATACTGGATCAAAGAGACAACAGCAAGTTGACAGTTTATATGGGAAATTTAAGGGGCAGTGAGTTTGTTAATGAAGGAGAAATAACTTAGAAAAGGAGAACGAGAATGGGTGCACAACTCAAAGAACGTAATCAATGTCACTTGAATTGGTATGTTTTTGCTGTGTATATATTTTCAACAAAAATAAATTTTTTAAAAAAGTAAGCTCAAAACAACACTCATAATAGCCCACAACTGGAAACTTAAATGCTCATCAACAGTAGAATGATGTTTTAGATATAATAAAATTGGATAAATGAAATACTATAAAGCAATGTGAATAAACAAACTATAAATACATGCAACAATACAGATAAATTTCATTGTAGTAGGCTGCATAGCCTTCAAATATATCCAGGTCCTCATCCCTGGAACCTGTGAATATTACCTTACATGGCAAGAGACTTTGCTGACATGATAAATTACTTTGAGATGAAGAAATTACCCTCAATTATCCAGTTGGGCCCTAAATGTAGGGAGATTTGAGTACATAATACAAAAAAACCCCACTCAAACCCACAGCCATAGACAGGATTCTGACTCATAGCAACCCCACTGGGTTTCTGAGGTAAATCTTTATGGAAGTAGAATGCCCTGTCTTCTTTTCATGGAGTGGCTGGTGGATTTGAACCACCAACCTTCTGGTTAGCAGTCAAATGCCTTAGGCACTGTGCCACCAAAGCTCCTTTGACTACATAATAAACCAAACTCATTGTCGTTGAGTCGTATCCAACTCATTGTGACCTCCTCCTTGGGTCTCCAAGGCAGTACCTCTACAGAAGTAAACTGCCCAACCTTCCTTCCAAGGAGTGGCTGGTGGGTTTGAACCACCAGCCTTCTGGTTAGCAGTCAAATGCTTTAGGCACTATGCCACCAGAGCTCCCAGGAGGAGATAATGGAAGCAGGCTTTGAAAACGGAAGGAGCCCACAAGTCATGGAATATAGGCAGCCACTAGAAGCTGACAAAGGCAAAGAAGCAAATTCTCCCTTCAGAACCTCCAGAAGAAACCAACCCTGTTGACACCTTGATTTGGTCCAGTGAAACTGATTTTGGACTTCTGATCTCTAGAATTGTTAAGAGAATAAATTTATATTACTTTTAAGTTACTAAGTTTGGAGTAATTTGTTACAATAGCAACAGGAAATAATACACTCACAAAACTTAATGCTGAGCAAAAAAGAAGAGTATATTATATATGATTCCTTTTACATAAAATGAAAAATAGGCAAAATTAGTTTGTGGTTTTAGAAGTTAGGATAATAGTTACTTCTAAGGAGGAAGAAGACAGGGGCAAGAATGGTGCTTCTGGGGGCAAGAATGCTGTTTCTTGATCTGAGGGCTGGTGATACATGTTTAATTTGTGTATTTGTATGTTTAAATTGTATGTTCTGTTTTTAAAATTGATGTCTGTTCAACCTTTATCAATCTGATTATCTGCTAAATATATTAAAGTGGACGGGGAAAATACTAAATACCAATTTTACTTCTGAAGACCACTAAAGATTTTTTCTTTCTTTCTCCAAATGACTCTTAAAAAATTTCAACATCTGACAGAATATAACAGCATTGGAAAAATGCTAAAAAATAATTTAAAAGTAAAATACTATTTAACTTTGTTATCCTGTATCCTAGGACTATAAATTACAAAAATACAAGGAAAAACAACATTTTCCAAATTAACAGTAAATAAGGGAGAAAGGTGACTATTACATCCCAAACGATCAAGAAGCCTTTTGGGCCTACGATTCTTGAAACTAGTCAAAATGGTAACACAGTGAAACCTGTTACAGCCGGAACTTGATGGGGACTGCCTTGTTTTTCTGGTTCTTGCTTGCTTTCCATCCTTGACAGGATACAGTCTTACTATTTCTCTATCACTCATGTTAGTGGAAAAAATTTTTTCCTTCTCTAAATGGTTTCTGCCTTACACACCAGCTTTCACAGGTTTTACTCTAAAAGAAATCTCCTCCCATTAATTGTATATCATTAAATATAAAAACAATTTATAAAACACATCAGAATTTTATTGCTTGAAGAACACAGCATATGAAATCACAAGAAGGTCAAAATGAAAAGTCACTAGGATTCAAAACATATAATACATTATCAGATGCAGTAAAATATTAATTAACCTGAACTCTGCATCAGAAAAAAAAAAATGGAAAAATATCTAAGTTGTTTACTTAAGAAACATACTTAAAATAGAAAGCGTAAGAACGTTACAGTACAAATTAGAAAAGCCAACACTTTATTAATTTATTATTTCTCTAGACTAGACTACCTTTGGTACTTAAATCTTTTAAAAAACAATTCTTTCTGTCTTATCTAATGTACTCCATAAATACGATATCCATGAAGTAACTTCAACTTAAACATTCAACAAAACCTTTCTGTTGCATGGGGAAAGTGTATTTAATAAATGTATGACAGTATTTCACTTTTTCTAAAACTGCAAAGTGTGATCATTAAGAAATCTAATACTTGTAAACTTTACTTATTTAGCCTTCCAAGTAAAATTGGAATCCTGGCAGCCACACTCTATTTTTGGGCTTGGTGAATATAGAAATTTAAAGGTTTGGCAATTGACATAGGAATTTAGATTACTTCCTTTTTGTTTCCAAAATATGAACAATATGCTGTATCTTCAACATGCTCGATTCCAACAACAATCACTATCATACTTTATTACTGAAGCCAAATTAAAGCTTCTCCTCTTTAACTAGCAGGTTAATATTAACGACGTGTGTTTCATATATTGTTGATAAGTTATGTCACGTTATCTTAAACAAAACAAACCATCTTTTTTTTCAAAGCTATCACTTAATTATGATGAAAGAGACAATGGTGTCATTTCAAAAGGTAGCACTGGACTTATCTTTAAGGTCATCTAGTCAAGAAAATGTAAAAGTAATGCTAAAAACAAACAGTAAGTAAATTATAACTACAAATTAAAAAAAAATAAAACCCCTCTTTTATAGCAAGCATACTCATTAACTTTCCTTTCTTTCCCCCAACAAAGGTTTGAATATTCATGAACCTTAGTTTAAACCAACGGAACTTAAGTTATTGTTTCAGAAGTTCCATCTATATATTTGAATAATATGAACATGGATGGACTAAGCAAGTAATACTATTAACAACAATTATTGGAGTGAAATAGTAAGAATTATGACAATCCTCAAAATAGGGCAGTCTTTGAAATGTAATAATATAGCTCAAGATGAATTATGCCATAATAAAACTGTATTTTTTTTTTTTTTTTTTACCAATACACAAGAAAACAAAATAAAAAACAAAACCCACCAAATTTATACAACTACTACTGAACCTACCCCTTCCTAGTTTTTTAATGTCTTATTTGGAGATTTTCTTTTTAAGCAAGTGTATTTACCTGAGCATATATATTCATTGCCTGTATATATACTCACTTTAAAAGACAAAAGATTCAGATACTACAGAACTGAACTTGTTTTGTCACCAACCTGATCCAATGTCTACTGCATCGTACCCCCCCAAAATAATTTAAAATCCCCAATTTTCAGTTTAGTTAAAAAGACAGAAGAAATGCAAATACAGATGGAGAACTTCTGTATAAATCTTACTATATTTTTATAAATTTGAAGTTTTGTGTAACACTGTTTATTGATCAAAGGATTCACTGCTATCTAAAATTTCATAAACACCATTAAAAATTCAAAATTGATATTATACTGAACCTTAAATTTTCAATAGTTCAAAGAGACAGTTTTTACATGTATAGCACACAATAGAGGAAACTTAACAGCAGACATCCCAAGAATAACAATGGCAAGTCCACCAAGATGCATACAAAATTACAGATAAGCATATCTTTCACTGTTTGGTTGTGGGGAAAAACATTTATAGAGGAAGTAGAAACTCAGCTGGCAAATTTCAGATATCATCATCATCTTCTTCATCCTGGGAAGATCCTGCTTGATTGGATGCACTGGCTGAGGCAGCAGCAAGCTGGGCTTGTTGGGCAGCTTGCTGCATTTGAAGCCATTCCTGCTGGGCCAATTCTGCTTGTTGCTGTCTAGCCTAAGCATCAAAACAACAACAAAAAACAATTGATAATAATTTTAAAACACACACACACACACAAAATACACATTTTGATTAAAAACAGATCAAGCCAAGCACAGATTCAGTCATTACCTAACTTAGATATTTTCCAACTACTACATAATTGTTGTTTATCTGGAGAGCATGAACTCTATGAGAAAATACAGTTAAAAACTGCTTTTCTGTGAACCATATCGGTCTGAGAATTACCTAAACTTGCTTTGAAAAAAAAAAAAAAGTTCTCCTTTTATGTCTTTGGTTCAACTGAAGAAGCTAAAACAGATGATACAGAAAATCTCAGTATTTTTTCTTTGGTTCTGTTCCCCATATTTCTCTCTTCCTTTCTTTTCATTTGATCCTTCTGTACCTTCATCTTACAATTTTGATGTATACATTTTTCAGTATAAAAATTATTTCTGTGGTTTAAAAATTCTCAGTATAATACCTCTAGCTCTTATGGGAAAAGTACTATCCTGATATTTCTTTTGTGTTCCTATCACAATTCCCCATCCTATATAGGTGTCTCTCTCTGTGTACACACACACACACACACACACACACACACACACACCCTTCCACTAGTGAAAAGACATCTAATAAGGGACTGAATTCTAGTAAATGGCATAGAAACCAAGATACATTATGCATTATATGCATTGTTGCAGCAGCTAAGGTACCTTCTCAACTTTGTTTCACATGTTAGCAGAAAACCCACACCAAAACGGGAAAAATGAACTAGTTCTTGAAAAAAATCATTAGACTGTCAGTACAATACTGTTTCTTCTTCTCTGCCTTTTTTCAGAATTGCTCCTTAAGCCTGCTTCAAAAACCAAAACCAAAAACTCACTGGTATCAAGTCAGATCCGACTTACAGCGACCCCTCCTTGGGTTTCTAAGGCAGTATCACTACAGAAGTAGACTGCCCAACCTTCCTTCCTTAGAGTTGCTGGTGGGTTTGAACCGCCAGCCTTCTGGTTAGCAGTCAAATGCCTTAGGCACTATGCCACCAGAGCCTGCCTCATGTCTTCCTCTATGCAGAGCTAATTCCTAGTCATCCTTTAAAGCACAAGCCAGGAAGTCTTTCTTGATCCTTTTAGGCCACATTTTGTGAGCTATATCATATGCCCATACCTATCTACTTTGTTTTATAATTATCTCAGTATTTATCTTTTTCCTAAACCTGACTTAAGAATAGACTGCTTTCTATTTCATATTCATTGTTGTGTTCACAACACATAGGCCTTCAGTATTTTCTGAATGAATATTCTGTGGGAAAAGTGACGCTTGGCATAATCTCTAACATTAAGATTTTTACCATGTACATTCCTCACTTTTAAAAATAATCTGTCATTAATCTATCACCCAAACATTCCTAGAGAAAAATTCTAATCAGGTTATATCCTACCTAAAAATAAACCCAAACAAACAAAACTCATTTAATCATTACCAATTAAGTCCAAATTTCTCAGCCTAGAGTTCAAGAGCTTTCAAATTACTGCCTCTGTGCCAATCTCTATCCTCTCTCATCTTTTTTTCTAACATGTACTTTATGCTCCAAAAAACCCTAGAGTATGTTTCCCAAAATTACACATACATTCCTATTTTCACTACCTTCATTCATGCTATTTACTCAATTTGGAATTCCGTCATTTTCACCTACAGAAATTCTACCCTTCCTTCAAATGAAATGGAAATACTATTTCTTCATTAAGTTTTTTCTGATTTGTCCCTAAATCCAAACCCAACCCACTGCTGTTGAGTCAATTCTGATTCATAACAACCCTTTAGAACCAAGTCAAACCAAACCACACCAAACCAAACTCACTGTTGTCGAGTCGGATTTGACTCACAACGACCCCTCCTTGGGTTTCCAAGGCAGTATCACTACGGAAGTAGTTTGCCCAACCTTCCTGCCAAAGAGTTGCTGGTGGGTTTGAACCGCCAGCCTTCTGGTTACTAGTCAAGTACTTTAGGTACTATGCCACCAGAGTTCCTAGAACTGTTCTATCATTTCAAAGGCTATAAATCTTTACAGAAGCAGACTGCCTTATCTTTCTCCCATGTACCTGCTGGTGGGTTCAAACCACTGACCTCTCAGTTGCAGCTGACCGCCTTAACTACTGTGCCACCAGGGCTCCTTGTCCCTGTATCAGTCAGATCTAATCAGAAGGTAGACATCACACTAATTAAATGAACAAAAAGAATTTTATATAAAGGATTATTAACCAAGTATAAAACTATTAATTAGGTAATTAAAAAGTCAAGAAAACACTAAAAGATCATGGCAATGGCAACTACAGAAAGCAGGCACTAACTCTAAAACTGGGGGAAGTAGGGAAGTAGGGAAGTGGGGAGGCTTTTTAAAACTTAGAAGCTAAGAAGGGTAATCTCATGAAACTCTGAAGACGTGGCACAAATCAGCTGGTACTAGTATGTATCTCTGAGCCTGGAGAAGAAGCCTAACAGTTTGGACCCACATCCTTGAAGAGGGAGTACACATGCTCAGGTTAGCTCTACATTAGAGAAACTGCAAAACGTATTCAGTTCCTGCCAAATGAAAAAACTGCTGTGGCTCAACTGAAGAAGTGTTGGTGAATTGCTCAAAAGACTGGAACCCAACAAGAAGCTAAAGGAAGAAGCAAGTCCTTTCTTCCTCCTCCACCATTACAATCTCCCTCCAGAGCTCCCTACTGAAGTAAAATCTAAGAAATCACCTAACCAAACAGAAATGGGCTTTTGCAGAGTAATAACTCCAGTGCAGAGCCTAGAAAGATGGGTTTGGGGCTGAAAATGTGAAACAATGTTTTCTGCACCTGAGATCTCTTTGTACCTTCCTTATGAGTAGCCTCACAGTACAACTGATACTGTATCTACATCATACCCCCCTAGAAGACACAAAGTTTCTTAAAAAGCCCCATATCTAATGTCTTATGTATCAGTAGGAACTCATGTTAATTAAATTTTTACTTAAAACTGGTTGATCAAAGGATAGGAACAAGGAGAATAAAAGGTGGTGGTGGAAGAGTAGAAGAAAGGTTATTGCTCCAAGGAAGGTTAATCAAGCAATCACAGTACTGGAAACTAACTAAGGGAACAGTCTATGTTAAATGTTATTAAAATAAACCGAAAACCACCAGAATGAGAACTGAAGGAAAAAAGGTCACTGAATTTGGTGTTAGGCTGTCTCTGTGGTAAGAACAGAAGTCAAATTATAAGGAGTAAGTGGCATATATTTCCAAAATATAGTATTATGTATCATCATATTAAAAAATGGAAGGGTTTTAGGGGCATATGGAGATACAGGGGAGTCCTTGGGTGGCATAAATAGTCGAGTCATGGCTACTACCTGAAAGGTTGGTAGTTCAAACCCACCCAGAGGTTCCTCAGAAGAAACGAAGATCTGCTGCCAAAAGCATTTTCAAGGTCACAGCCATGAAAATACCCTATGGAGCGCAGTTCCACTCTGAAACACATGGGGCTACCATCAGAATCAATTAACTGGCAACTAGTTGTTTTTTTTGGTTTGGAGATGCAGAAGCTCTATATATGGTTGAAAGCAAAGAGAAAGAAATGAATAATGAAAAGACTGAAGATAGTAGAAACGAAAAATATGGGTAAGAGTTTTTTTTTTTTTAACGGTAAACAAATCACTTTTTGTTTGCTTAGAAAATTAAAAACCACATATTCTTTCTAATAGGGAGCTCTGGAGACAGTGATTAAAGCATTTGGCTGTTAACCAAAAGATCAGCAGTTCAAACTCAGCAACCTCTCCACGAGAGAAAGACGAGGCAATCTGCTTCCATAAAGATTTACAACCTCGGAAATCCTGTAAGGCAGTTCTTGTATTACAGGGATACCATGAGTCAGAATTGACTCAATGGCAGTGGGTTTGGGTTTTTTTGCTTTGTTTTGTTTCTGTCCTCATCTATTTTTTATAAAGACATATGGAAAACACTGCTATTCTAACACACAGGCATATTTACTTTTATGGAAGAAATACCCAAAGAATTCAAACTAGACTAAGAGGGCTTACTAAAAATGTTAAGAGGTCATAAGAAAAATATAGGGCAAAGTACTGTTGTTGTTAGGTGCTGTCGAGCAGGCTCCAACTCATAGTGACCCTATGTAAAACAGAATGAAATACTGCCCATGCATGCGTCACCCTCACAATCCTTGCTATACCCGAGCCCATCATTGAAGCCACTGTGTCAATTCATCTCATCGAGGGCCTTCCCCTTCTGCGTTGACCCTCCACTTTACCAAGCATGACCTCCTTCTCCAGGGAATGGTGCCTTCTGACAACTTGACCAAAGTAGGTGAGATGAAGTGACCAAAGTAGGTGAGATGAAGTCTGGCCATTCTCACTTCCTAGGAGCATTCTGACTGCACTTCCTCCAGGGCAGATTTGTTAGTTCTTCTGGCAGTCCACGGTACTTTTCAGTATATATATATATATTTTTTTAATTTTATTTTATTTAGATTTGGGTGAAGATTTACAGAGCAAATTCACTCTCGATACAGCAGTTCACATATACTTTGTCTCATGTCATTGACCACAATTTACCACAATGCAACAGCGCCCCTCCAATTTCCTCCCCAAGGTACCACTTCCCAGTGTCCATCCCTCCATACTCTCCTGCCCCCTAAGCTGTCTCCCTGTGCATAAGGTGCCCTTCCTTCTCCCATGATTGTTCTCTCAAGGGCATGTGTCCACTTGAGGTAAATGTTCAACTCACATACCTGTACTTTGCTTGGCTGGAAACCACAGGTGTGGTCTCAATTCCAGACCTGAAGGGTAGCTAGGGGCCATAGTCTCAGTGGTTCCACCAGGCTCTATTGGACCAGCAAACCTGGTCCCAACCATCTCCCCCCCCTTTTTTTTTTTTTCCCCTCCAAATGATTTTGAGTTTTGTTCCACATTGTTCTCCCTCTCTATCCAGGATCTCCTACATCCCTTCCAAGTGGATGACAGTGGTAGCCGGGCACCATCTAGTTCTTCTGGTCTCATACTTGTATAGGTTGCAGATTGGATGGTGTACCAGTCGTGGGGACTGATTGTTTCCATTAATTTTGGTTTTCTGCTTTCTTCTTTGCTCTTGACGAGGAGAGACCCATCGTTACATCTAGATGGCAGCTTGCTAGCTTTTAAGATCCCAGTCGCTACTCACGAAATAGGAGGTGGAACAATGTTTTGTATAGTATGTTATGCCAATTGAGTTTGATGTCCCCTGTGACCATGGTCCCAGGCCCTAAGGATCAACTACTCAGTCGCTGTTGGTAACTGGCTGTGACCAAGCAGTGACCATAAGCTAGCCCCTTGTCAGTTGTACTATACTCCTGGGGATTCTGATCCTTCACATAAACTTATAGGACCATTGTCTGCCAACCCTATATATGATCCTGGATACACTCCCTCCTTCATAGACATAGTTAATCGTTTAGCCTGTCCACCTATCTATCCATCCATATATCCATGTTTACCTTCACTGAGAACTCAGTACTGTATATGCAAAAGGGTTCATATTTGTTGTCTGTACCTCCCATGTACCTCTCTATGTCTTTCTCATCCTCATTGCTGTCATGTTGGTCATTCACATTTGGTACGTTGCCCTTCTCTTCACCCAAATCAATATTTACCACTATCTATCTAACGGCAATCCCTCCCCTCCCCTCCCACCCCTGGTAACCAACAAAGAAATTTTCTCCAATAGATAAACCTTTCCTTAATTTTTACAATAATGGACTAATACCATATTTGTCCTTCTGTGATTGACTTATTTCACTCAGCATAATGTCCTCCAAGTTCATCCATACTTTCAGTATTTTTTGCCAACACCACAATTCAAAAGCATCAACTCTTCTTCTGTCTTCCTTATTCATTGTCCAGCTTTCATATGCACATAAGGTTACTGAAAACACCATGGCTTGGGTTAGGCGCACCTTAGTCTTCAGAGAGAAATCTTTGTTCTTCAGCACTTTAAACAGGCTTTTTGCAGCAGAATTGCCCAGCATAACATGTATTAGCTCATATACTTTTCTCTCTGAATATAAGAAGCATTCCTATATGCCTTTAAAATCATTTAGTTGATATAATTCTTTTGTGTTTATTTCCACAAATTAAAAACTCCAATGACAGTTAATCTAATTTCCTTTTCCTAACTTGTATCCTACCCAATCCGTCCCAGATATTTTTCTTCTAAAATGAAGGTGTAAAAGAAAGGTTAAGTAGGCACACACTTCCTAATTTACTTCTTCTTTTGGAGATTTTCATTATGTTTTAAGATTCTTACTGCCACATATTAGGAGTTCTACTGGCACAGTAGTTAAGCACTTAGCTGCTAACCAAAAGGTTGGTGGTTCAAACCTACCAACCACTCCATGGGAGATATATGTTGCAGTCTGCTTCTGTAATGATGTACAGCCTTGGAAACACTATGGTGCAGTTCTACTCTGCACATTGTGTCACTATATGTCAGAATTAGCTCAGTGGCAATTAGTTAAATGGCTCATTTATTATTTATAATTAACTCTAATCTTGATGTAGCAATGAGTTTTCCAAATATTTGCTGCCAGCAGTGAAAGACACTTCAAATGAGGCTATCATTGTGTTAGTATTTAAAATAGTCTAAAAACTGAAAGTGATTAAAAGATATTTTACTTCCTTAGTTCTTTTCATTCTTAGAACTTTAGAAAAGAAATACCAGGCAGCTGCTATAATTTTACCTCTCTGTGGTCTTCTTCACAACAGCAAAGAAACACTAGGGCATCTTTGCTCATAGGCCACAGCAAGGGAGATAAAAAAAAAAAAAGGGGGTGGGGTGAGAATCAAGTGATGGGCAGAGAGGTGAACACAGATTGGCAAGCAGTAAATTATTTCTTTAACTTATCTCTTTGCCCTGGCAAGAATAAAGCATGATCCATTTAAAAGCTCACAATAAATTTAAGCAGACAAAATGGTGGCTAAAACATTAGCACAGTATTGTAGAAAGAACATGTTTTGGAATCAGAAGACATGAGTTTGAATTTAGGTCCCAACACTTCCTACCTGTATGAACTTACCTGCTTTATTTTTAAGTCAATTTTCCCCCCATGGACTAAATTCCATTATGACAAGAACCATGTCTCTTTTGTTGACTGCTGTAAGCCTAGCACCTAGCATGAAAGCCTGGCAAACAGTGAATACTTCAGTAAACATTTGTAGAGCAAATGAATGAATGATCTCACGCAAGCTTCTCTACCTGTTTCTTAATATGTAAAATGTGTATAATAAAACTGATATAATAAATCCTGCAAGGTATGTAAAATATCTAGTAAAGCATCTTCTTTCTCATATCATATACTGAATTCAGTACTTTTTAGGTGACCCACAATAGCAGAAAATCAATAAATAGCCCTTAATACATATTTTTTTAAATCATTACTTCTTCGGTAACTCATATTCATATGGATAATAATAGTGTTTGCATGTGTTCATGCCTTTCTTAAAGACTTTTCCTCTACAGTGCCTATCTCACAGGTTACTGTGAAGATTAAATGTAAGTAAATTACTTGGCCATGTGCTTAACACATGGTAAGAACTCAGTAAATGTTAGTAAGCTTTTGTTTTTCTTATTAGTTTAATTGGCATCAGGTGCCTACTGCCTACTACCACTCAAAACTCAATGGTTTTTTTTTTCCCATGTAAAGTTAACTAACTGTTCCAGCTACAGGGATATAGCTATATTATCTGTAAAATATGCCTAAAATAATACTTCCTAGTTCTAAAGGTTACTGCAGTAACTGGTGAGAAATCTCACCTCTTCTATTCACTCAAAATTGCCTTAAATTTCAAATGAGAAGCCAATAGAGAAAAGCAGCCTTTCTACCTTGCTATCATCTCTCTTCCATTTTTTTCCTTTAAAAAAAAAAAAAAAGAGGTTAGTATTCTGTGCTAACCCTTACCAAATTGGGCACTAAAACTTTAGCAAACAAGAAGGGAGAAAAGTTTCTCCTTTTCTCTGTTCACGAGCATTGAAAAATTTTTTTTGGATTAGTGTTGCAAAGATATATTAAATACCTAATTTCGGGTTTGACTCGACGGCATATAACAACAACAACAATTTAATTACAAAGTTAATCAGATTTTTCTTGTATGCCATTCATCATAAAATGATATAGTATTTTCTCACCACCCCATCATTTACAATTTTAAGAAATTTTAGGTATATTTTTTTCTGCTTTTAAATGATCATTCTGTCTGAAGAAAACATCAAAGTAAAATCTGAGTAGTTGTTTGGAGTTGTTCTCTTTAGAAAATAGGCTGCAAATATTTACATTTACAAAAAGCAGAGTCAAACTGGCTAGATTTAAGTATCAGACTCTATGATGAAACATTCAGCCAAAGAAAAGAGAATTCTTTGGGTACACATGTTGATTTAGAAAATGATTTGAGAAACCAGTATGATTTGTTAGCAAACAGGATAGAATTCAGATTTAAGTAGTTTAAAATGCATTACTTACTTTTGCAAATAATTCCTGTTGCTGTCTCAATAATTCTTCTTCAGGAATGCCAAGGTTTTCCAAACGAGAACTGGCCTTTCTTCTTTTTAATGCTACTGTCTTGCATTCTTGTAAAACTTCTTTTACTTCACTGATATAAGAGCCAAAGCCCAAACTTTCTAGTGCTAGGGAGAAAATATGAAAATATGAAAGGATGATGAAACATTGCTTTTCCCCCAACTATGGAACACGATGCCTTTGTGAGTTTTTTTGGAGGGTACCTTTGTTGCTTTCTAATGTTTTACCTATTTTCTAATTGTTCCACAATTATTTCGGTGGCTTGAGTCAAAATAGTTAATCAATTTGCTTAATATTAGATTGCAAATCAGTTAAAATGTAGAAACATTTAAAGATAGGGCCTTTACTATTCCTTTTCTAATTTTTGAAAGACCAAAACATCTCCTGTGAGAAAAAAAGGTTCAATGTAAGAACATGTAGTTTCAGTAAGGAAAGAATTTTTCCTATAGCACTCTTGGTTAAGTCAAGTATCATTAAGTAGGACACCTTCCCAGTACACAAAAAAGGCAAAGATTTGGAATATATTTGCTAGCAATAAAAATATATTTTGTGTTATTCAGTTTGGAAAAAACTAGGGTGTTGACACATGATCTACTAAGTTTCAAATGAATGGGATAAAAGAACAGATAAGCTTTTCTTTTGTCAAACACACCAACAGGAAACTATTTTTAGCAAAGACACTCAAACTGCCAAATTTAGGACATTCTGGTGGAAACAGCTCATGAAATTCAGCATTTATAGTCAGCCAACAGGTTTCCCTTGAAAATTAAACTCAACAGGAAGCACTATAAAAACATTCTCAAGTGATGTGACAGAAAAACTGGAATGAAGGAAAACATTAAGGACAGATGAAGCATTAACAAAAAATTCTCTTTATTTTTTACATGTAGAAAGAAAATTTTACAAGAAAAATCACGTGCTCTTTAAATGTCTTTTGAAATCTAGGAAGACAAGGAATAAAACTACTTTTCACAATTCAATGGCAGTGAGTTTGGTTTTTTATATGCTGACTAAGGAGCTTTGGTGATATAGTGGTTAAGGCATTTGATTGCTAACCAAAAAGATTGGTGCTTTGAACCTACCAGACGCTCTGTGGGAAATGAGGTAGTCTGTTTTCCCAGAGATTTACAGCCTTGGCAGCCTTGGAAAGCCACTGGGGGTCGCTATGAGTCAGCATCAACTCTAAGGCAGTGAGTTTGGTTTTTGTGTGTGTGTGTGTATATATCTATATATATATATACATATATATAGATATATATAGAGAGAGACTAATGCCCCAAAGGCATATTTGTATTCTGAGCCAGTGGTGAAAAACAGGTGGGTGGAAAACACATTAAATGAACTTAGCTCATGTAGTCTTTCAGTCTTTCAACAATTACAATGAATGAGACTATTCCCAATAAAACTAAAACCAAACCCACTGCCAAGAAGTAGATTTCAATTTGTAGCAACCTTATAGGATAGAGGAAAACTGCCCCATAAGCTTTCCAAGGCTGTAAATCTTTAAGGAAACAGACTGACACATCCTTCTCCTGCAAAGCCACTGGTAGGTTCAAACTACCAACCTTTTGGTTAGAGTTGAGGCTTTAACCACTGTGCAACCAGGACTACTGCCCATAATAAAACCAAAAACCAAACCAAACTTACTGTCATCGAGTTGATTCTGACTCACAGCAACCCTAACAGAGTAGAACTGCCCTTTATAGTTCAAAGGCCATAAATATTTATGGAAGCGGACTGCCTCATCTTTCTCCCTTGCAGCTGATGGATTTGAACTGCCAAACCTTTTGGTTAGAAGTTGAATGCAGTAACCACTGTGCCACAGAGCTTCTTGTTTATTACATTGACCTTAGCGTCAAGGAGCTTGGGATATATACAGTGGAAAAATAAGTGAAGATTATTCACAATATGACATGTTAAAATAACAAAATGTACAGATAAACACAAAAAAGAGATAACCTTTCAGAATGTCATGAATGAATAGACTAGGCCTTAAGAAAACCCACTCCAAACCACCTATAAACTATGGATGGCTTGGGTTAAAAATAAAAATAAATAAAACATTTACAGCTGAGAAAAGTGCTTTAAAAAAACCCGCAAGTCAGTCCAAGGATAATATTTAATATTATTCAAAGAACTGCTATGTATAATAAATACTGTACTCAACAAAACAGTTCAACGGGAACAGCCATAAATTTAATTTTAAAAAGTGCACTGAGTTTAATCTAAATTTTAAAGATATTTTGGCTAATAAACATTAACAATTAGACTATAAAATATCTAAATAAGGAAATATTTTATATAATTTGTTACCAAGTAGTACTAGTCATTTCCACTTTACACAAAGGAGAATCTTAGAGGATAAGGGAAATGGCTCTAAGTGGGGTACACCATTTAAGGGTTTGTAGTTTGTTTGGTGCATAATACCACCATATCTAAGGGGGGGGGGCATTCACACAGCAAACATCACAGATTTGAATGTTTATTATGACTTTTTTCCTGGCAGATGGAAATAAATTGTGGTGCTTTTTTCTAAGGTGTACATGGAGGCCTTATGGATTGTTGATGGCTTTGGCTCTATGGATCACAAAGTAAAAAAAAAAAAAAACAAATTCAATTTACGGGTAGAACAAACTCACATCTTTTGTTCTCCAGAGATCTGTCTGCCACTCTCTGCCTTCTACCTTAAAACTAAATCAAGAAAAGGGCATAGTATATTAGGGGAAAAAAGCAGACATTCTTTCAATTTGAGTGACAAACTTTAACAAGACTGAAAAAGAAAGTACAAGCATCTTCCCCACAGTAATATTCTTAATATGGGTTTACCGTATTTTACAAAAGTGATGTATTCCTAAAAAGTTTTGTTATAACATGAATTTCTGTGAATCATATTATACTTCAAATGCATAAAGCAAGCTTTCCATTTTTTTAAAAAGTGTATGATGTACCTTTAAAAAACATAAGCAACATTTTCCATTTTCTTTTTGTTTGCTAGAGGGAAGGGGAGTGATGTAGTTCACTTAAAATACATTAAGAGCCAAAATACACTAATGGCTTTTTGAGTCATTAGGCTGGCAAAGGTTTCTGAAGACCCTAAAGACCCATATCTTTCTTAGTATCACTACTCATGGGAACCTGGGACAATGAGAGACTGATGGCAGAGCAAGAATCAGATACCATTCATCTTTATATCCTTTGTATCTAATACAAGTGCTAAGTCCTAGTAATATTCAGTAAGTAATTGTTGGATGGTAGAAGGAAAACAAAAACAAAAGATAAATCACTTTTAAGAAGAATAATAAAATCCTACCTGATTATGATAAATTATAAATTATGTGTGTGTGCATGTGTGCATGCATGCACGTGGGGGGGGAAGGGGGGGTCTGTGTATGATTTAGGCAATATCATTCTCATTATTGCTGCAACTTTTCTGCATTAAGTCAGATGCCATGATTCCAAAACTACCTCATATCCACTTTACAAAATAGACTGGTTTAAACTTTAGAGCAAAGCTACTGAAAGTGTGATCCATGCAGTTATGCCAGAAATTGCCTTTAATGGTCAGGTATGAGTTAAGTAGGAAAATTCAAAGCACATATTTAAGAATTTTCATTTAAGAATTTCATACTGAGTAATTTATGCCTGCTGAATCTAATGATAAAACATTTAATTTACTTTGTGTCTTTTTAAATTCCATTTTTCTAGTGAAGCATTTTTCTTACATTTTACAAAAGGACTAGTGGTAAAAAAAAAAAAAAAAAATACATATGCCTTTTATCATAGATAGCTTGGAGCAACTCAACTGCTAAAGAAGCCAATTCTCACTGAGACCTTTTCAAACTTTCACTACTTTCAGTTACCATTCTCATAAATGTGGGGGAAAAAATGCAAAAAAAGATTAATAATGAGGAATAATATAATTTAAAATATTCTCATTTTCACTTTGTCTTTGCAAACAGCTTTACAATATAAAGATTAAATGTAACAGATCTTCAGCTTTATATCCTTTTAATACCACTACTTATTTTTTTATATTATTTTTTGTGGTATATTTCATGTAAGGTTCTAACCCCAACTGATTCTCAGTAATTTCAAGTTGCACCTGAAACTACTAAGTATTATTTATATAAAAATGGAGACGCCTTAGCTAACAGATTTGCCTAAGGCCAAAGAATTTGCAGTGTACAACTTGCAGCTCTTGATTCTCAATGTCAATTCAACCTATAACGCAAGAGACATGTTAGAACTCATTCAGGAATATGTGTTCACAGAAAACAGCAAAGAGATGAAAGGAACATCTTTTAAAGCTCAGCAGTCCCTCTATTTATGTATCTGAAATCTACTTTCTCAAGCTCAAAAAGTAAACCATTTAAGAAAAAAAAAAGTAACTAAATTATAGGATTTCACAGATTAACAAGCAATAACATGACTTCAACTTTAATATTCATTTTCCAAAGTACCTCTGATTGTTGTTGCTTTAACAAGGTAAAACAAGGTGACAAGTGAACAAGTGAAATATCCTGTAGTAAAGTCTAGTTCATTAAACTTATTACTAAAAATACAAACTTTAACATGTAGGGATCATACCACTTTAAAAAGTACATCATTATTTTACTTGAATATATTCTACATTTCTAAATAATCAATGCTGACCGAAAGGTATAAGAAATGTCATATCTACATGATTTCCCAGCCCACTTTTCCAAAGTTAGTCTGCTGAAATATAGCCTAACCACCTAAAATATACATACCGTAAGCATTTCCTTAAAAAAATTTTAACCACTCAAAACAAAAATTCTTTAAAATAATTAGGCAACATGAGGTTAATATTAAATTACAAATGTATAAAATCTACTTCTCAAACTAGGATAATTCTTGAACAAAAATGTGGGTCCTTATCCACTGAACAACAATAATGCTCCAAGGGAAAACACACACACACACATACACAAAAGGTAAATATACAAGACTATACCAAGTCAATACATGGTATTTTAAAATTTTTTAATTAATCATGTTCAGTTCGGAAAGAAAAAAAATGCTTCCACTGTCACTTTCTGACTCACATAATACATTGAATTTAGCATATTCCAGAATTGAACTGCTTAGCATAATGATTGTTACAGCTGCACTTTTATTCCATTATGTCAATCAGAAATCTAAATATATCCTAGAATAGAATAAACTCCCCCCAAGAAGACAGACTGTAATGTGGTATTAGATTTTTGGAATGATCCCCATTTCTGTGGTTTAGGCAGACCCTGTTGAAATCTTTTGCCATTTTCATTAGAAAGGCAATGATGATAAAGATGATAAAAGGTCCTTTTTTCTTTTCTACCAGTTGTGAAAGGAAATTTTAGCTGTGTGGGATTCTCTTGTGAAAGATTCTGATAACAATCACACATACAATGTAAAAGCAAAAACACAGAGAAAAATAGACAACTTGGCTTTCATTTTACTTGTCAGAGTATTCAGCTCATAAAAAAAGCAGAAAAAAAAAAATACCGTTAAGAATCTTTATGAACTGGAATAGGAAGATATATTTTAAACATACCTTCCACAGATGATTAAGGATTAAAAATGAATTATTTAATCTTTTTGTCAATATTGACAGTAAAATACTGGATATGGTTAAATATTAGCAGATGTGTTCTCCTACTTCAGAATAGAAAAGTCACCTTTTAGAAGTTAAATTATTAAACTGTAATGACAGACAACCATCTGGCTACCAAAATGATTAAATTAACCATGCCCCCTGGCTACAAAATGATTAAATTAACCATGCCCCCCCCACACTTCAAAAGCAATCAACACTGTTAGAATTTTTAGGCCAGTTATGACCTCAAACTGAATACAAATTTTTGTGTAATGGAACATGTAAAAGTCACATAAAGTATTTCCCAAAACATTAAGTAAATATGTCTTCTCATCCTTGAAACCATTAGAATATGGTCCCCAAAAATCCCTATCCTTATTCGTACTGAATGAAATTCTTTCCCATATAAAAGGAAAAAAACTAAAATTTTCTCAAGTGCTGTTCAATGAAAGATTGAACGTATACATCTAAATGGGGATAAAAGCAGGAAGGGACAGGGAAATGTTCTACGAGAAAAATCTCTCACAATCTTTCAAGCCAAGCATTTAGTTGCATTCAAATTTATCTTCATAGAACAATTAAGTGAACATTCATTCACTCCTTCCTTACATAACAGAACTGAAGTGGGACGTTTGGCCATCAAACCATTTCATAGGCCAAAAATGTGTGCTCTTTACTCAACACCAATAAACTTTACCATGTCGAATACACGTTCTTGTTAATTTTTTTTCTTGTGTTCTGAATATTAATCTTTCCTCTCCATTAGTGAATAGGTGGGGTGGGGAAAAGGGTTGGCTGTCTACACTCCTGATCGAAGTTCCTCAGTCTGAATTTTAACTTTCCAAGGGTAAACTTTCTCAGTTGTCATTATCTAGGTTCAACTTTGGGCAGGCAATTCTTGATGTTTCAGCTGTAAATTGAGACTATTATTACTACTGCATTATCTTTTGGGACTGTTAGTTGACCTAAATGCTTACAATCCTTACTGGCTGGATGAAAAGTACCACAAGACTACACACCAGGATTTCTCAAAGCACATGCTCCTCCTTGCCCGTGCCGCTTTTTCACTTAATGGTACTTACCAATGAAGAGGAATGAAGGTTTTGACACAAACGGGTCACGCGACTAGCCGACTGTTCCCCCAGGCCCTCTTTAAACCAAATCCCACACAAACGACTTACCTTGTATAACATGCTCTGGTGAGATGGTCTTCTTTTCCGATTTGTTGCAAATCTCATTGGCTTCAGAAGATATAAGGTGAATGAATTCAGTGCAGCAGTTCACCACCAGCTCCCGGGCATCGTTGGCCACCCGGACATTGGGCAGAGTCTCTTTGATCATCTTATTGATAGCAGCTCTGGGTATAGTGAGATCATCATCGTTGCCAGATGAGGAAGCCATCGTACATTCCTCTCTCGCGCCCGACTTTTAAAAACTCCCTAGTTATGGTCCACTACTCCACAGAGATTTCTCAAAAGGCCGCCCTCGGAGAATGACCCTAAGGGGCGCTACGAGGGTGCAGAAAATGAGGAAAGGGAGGAGGTGGTGGCTCGACAGGGCGAGGAACACCCGAGTGTGTGAGATTTAGGGCGAGGCTGGAAGGAAAGTCAGAAGGTTGAGTATTCTGGGGACAGCACTGGCCGGGCCGAGGAGGGGAGAGCTTGGCGTGATCCGGAAATATGAGCAGCTAGGGAACCACTTTTGTGTCTCCTCAGAGGGGCGGGAGCTGTACAGCCTAACCGTTCCCAACAGCGCCGGAGCAGACACAAGATCCAGAAGCTCTGGCCTTGCCGCGGTTCTGGACGGACACCCAGCAGGCTCGGCTCTACAGAGCCTGAGCCGCTGCCGCCCCCGCCAGCAGCCGTTGCAGCCTCCTCGGCCAAACCATCTTTCAGATACCCGCGCCGCCGCCTCACAACATGTCGGCCGCAGCCCTTGCTGCAACTGTGGGGGCCGCCTGGGAACGAATACAGACAGAGTCAGGCTCAGGGGAAGCCGTAGTGGCGGCCGCCGTGGCCGTTTATCCCGAGCGCAGAAGCCGGAGCAGCAGTTACATCGAACACTCCACAGGCCAAAGAAGAAGGTTTGCTGGGAGCCACTCCCGACACCCTTTGCGCCACCGGAAGCCTCGGCTCCAACCAGTCCCCTCCCCCCAAATAGACCGACTTCCGGTTGTGGCTGCCACCCTTCCCCCACTCGCGTCGAAGGTAACCGCCGCTCCACACAGTAGTTTCGGTTCGTCCGGGGTCCAGCTCACAGCTCTGGATCCCGCCCCTTCACGGGGCCGCTGCCGAGCGAGCGCGCGCCTCGCGATACTGGAGAGCTTAAAGCGCGAGTTTGCTCCAGGGTTGGGCCTTCGGACGGTGGATAGGATTGATGGATGGTCGAGAAGAGCTCAGTTCCTCCGTCCCTACCTTCCCATTGACAGCGGAGGCCTCGAAACCTTCCTCCAGCCATTTTTTGGGAAAAAGAAGTGTTGGATTTCTTTAAAAGAACTCTGCTTTTTCTTAAGGAGACCGAATTGGTCTTGAAAGGGACACAAACCGGGCTTGAGCTCAGGAGTGAAGGATGTGGGGAAGGCAGAGCCCCATAGGCCTGTGCCTGTATCGTCCGGAAAGAAAGCTTTTGAAGATTTGTCATAGACCTTATTCAGATCACAGCTTATAATGGTCCGCCACCCATTTTCTCATTTTATGGGACAGGAAATACCCAAGAGAAGTAACTTGCGCAGTCACTAGAGGCTAAGTGAGAAACGAGAACTAAGATCCATCGTGGTGCAAACGCATAGCTTTTACTAAGTTACGAGGTTTCAACTTAGCCATTTTTCATGTCGGATTGCAAGTTTGCTTCGGGAGGTAAAAGAAAAAAAAGGTTTTACAGCTTAAGCAACTCTGATTTTTGCTTCTTTCCAAGGTGACTCGTAAAAAAAAATCGAGTGTCTTAACAAAAAAGTGCATTATTTTAAAAACTAAAGTTGTCATGTTGTTGTTGTTTTGTGGCCTCGAGTCGGCCCCGACTCCTAGCGACCCCTCCTTGGGTTTCCGAGGCAGTATCACTACGGATAGTGGATTGCCCAACTTTCCTTCCGAGGAGTGGCTGGTGGGTTTGAACCGCCAGCCGTCTGGTTAGCAGGCAA